ACCAGCAGGGTCACCCATGGTGGACAGGTTTCAGGTGAGTTTCCAGATGAAGACAGACTAGGAAGAAGGAGAGACAGACTACTTCCGAATATTTAGTCACTGAAATCCTTATGAATAGCAGAGAAACACCGTCAGCACCAAAACACGGCCAAGAAACACCGTCAGCACCAAAACACGGCCATTCGTAGGAAAAAAGGCCTGGTAATGATGATCCAAAAATCAGCCAATGAGGTTCCTTCTGGGTCACAGTGGCTTCATCACATGGCTGGGCATCCTGGGGTCCTCGTGAAGCAGGGGCCCACTCGCAGTTGCTAATAACACTGTGGCTGCTAACACCTTTTCTGTTAGACACTGATAATAACAATGTTGTTGTTGTTGTTGGGCTTCATGAAGTCCAGTCCACTCAAACTGACCCCAGGTGACAGAACCGCCACTAGGCTGCCATGGCTACAGAAGGAGACCTGGTGACACAGGGGGTTAAGTGCTAAGCTGCTAACTGAAATGTCGGCAGTTCAAACCCACCAGCTGCTCTGCAGGCGAAAGCTAAGTGTGTCTGCTCCCCTAACAGCTTCCAGCCTTGGGCACCCCAGGGAGCAGTTCTAGTCTTCCTGTGGGGTCACCATGAGTTGGAATGGACTTGAAGGCAGTGGGTTTATTCTTCAGAGAAGCTGATCACCAGATCTTTCTCCCTGGTGTCACTGGGGGGGAGCAAAGGGCCCACTTTTCAGTTAGCAGCTGAGCACTGAAGTGAGAGGTACTGATTTATAATTAAGTAGTAATAGTATTCATCAAGTGATGAATAAGAAATCGGTACAAACTTAATAAAGTAAGGATGAGCTCTCGTCCTCTGTGGAGCCCCACACCTTCACCCTCAGGGGCTCTAGGTGCACGTGCACATTCCAGCCCTTGTGATGTCACTGCAGAGTCGGCAGTTCAAACCCACCAGCCGCTCCTCGGAAGTCCTTGTCTGAGTCGGAACCGAATCAATGGTACTCAGACAACAACAAAAATACGGAAACAGGAGTCCTGGTGTGGCACTGTAGGACCAGCACTGGGCTGCCAACTGCAAGGTCAGCAGTTCAAACCCACCAGGCAGTCCTTGGAAACCCTATACAGGGGCACGATGAGTCAGAACTAGTCCAATAGCACTTACCAACAACAGCAAACACAAAGAAAGGAAACAAACTACAACCAGAAGGCTCCCGGGGGGTTGGGGGGAAGCTACGAAAACTGGAGTGGCCTCCCTCGGGCTTGTGCTCTGGGCAGCTGCATACTGTCCAACTGGAGTCTTACCTGGGTCCCCGGAACCAGGCCGGGTCTGTCCGAAGGTGCTGAGGGAAAGTGTCCTTCCCAGAACACACTTCCTTGAGTCAGACTTGAAGCCACTGAACGCTCTAAATTCCAGGAAAACAGGAAGTGTGCGTCATCTGGGAAATGTCTGAAATTTCCCAGAGTGAAAACCCAATTTGTACATCACTGTGTAGGGAAATTGTTTTCCTTATTTTAAATATATATATATATATATACATATATCATTGTGAATATATAATTATACATCATCTGAGACCTGGTGTGGCGCTGTGGGTTAATGTGCCAGACTGTAAAGACATTTGAACTGCAAGGTTGGCGGTTCAAACTCACCAGCTGCTCCTCGGAAACCCTATACAGGGTCACTATGGGTAGGAACCGACTCGATGGCACTTCACAACAAAGACCTATTCTGGCAACATCCCTCTGACTGCATATAGGGTCATGGCACCAACCCCCACAAAGTCTACTGTATCAAATCTGAGGTCAGTACAGCGGTTTGTGATGAGATGACACTCCTTTACAAAGCACAGCACAACGGTGTGACCATCATCCTGGAGTCCTGCTGGGCTCTGGAGGACGATATAAGCACTGGGTCGCTCTGCATCAGAGCTGCCGCAACGGCACTGAACAGCAACATTAGGTTAAAGCCGTTTTCGCATTGATGTTTTTTATACATAGAAAGGTACCCAAATAAAACCCCCTAGCCCACTGCCCAGCTGATTCCCACTCATGGGACAGAGTAGAATTGTTCCATAGTTCCCAAGGATGTTAAGTCTTTAGTAAGCAGATTGCCACATCGTCCCTCAAAGAGCAGCTGGTGCGTTCCAAACATGGACTGCTTTCAGGGTAGCAGCCCAACGCTTAACCCATGGCACCACTCCTTTCTGGCTTCCTCTCTTCAGCAGGCTGATTCCTCTCGTTCACCCTTGACAGCTATACTGTCCAGTACTGTCCACTGGCCATTTAGGGGCCATTGTTATGGTTGTCAGTGGCCATCAAGGTGACTCTAATTCATGGTGACCCCATGCACAGCAGAACAAAGTGCTGCTTGGACCCACGCCACCGTCACGATCGTCCGTCAGTTTGAGTCCATGATTGCAACCACTGTGTGTCTTGAGGGCCTTCCGACCCGTGAGCTCATCGGCTCTGCATTGGACAACCTTCTGTTATGACGTGGATCACCAGGGCCTTTCTTCCTGGTCTGTCTTGTTCTGGAAGCTTGGCTGAAACCTGTCCACCACAGGTGACCCTGCCAGTGTTCGAAATATCAGGACATCGCTTCCCCTCAAGTCACAATACCCCACAGTACCACCAACTGTTGCAGGTGACGAAAACGTCCGGCCCTAGATGGTAGTTAGATGGTGGTGATGGCTACAGAACCTAGTGAACAACACAACGTCACTGAATTCTCGGGAGTCTCACGTCTTGCTCCGATGCTCACCTAGACATGACACCGGCAGTCTGAGCTCCAGCCATCCCAGCTGTAAAATGGAGCTGTAAAAACCTCTACAAATGTATGTTAAGGGGCCCTGGTGGTACCATGGGCTTGGATGCTAGCTGAAAGGCCTATGATTCAAACCCACCCAGGGGCAATTTGATCCTGTCAGGATGAAAAATGAACCCGCTACCATCAGGCTGACTGAGTAGAGCTGCCCTACAAGGTTTCCGGGTCACAGACCTTTACGGGAGCGGATTCCCTCCGTGTTCGCCTGCAGAGTGGCTGGTGGGTTTGAACTCCCAACTGGGAGGTTAGCAGCGTGACACTTGACCCCTATTGTCACATCGACTTGATGGCACCCAATGAGAACAATGAAAATTTCACGTCACCCAAGAGGCAGAGAACAGAATGAGAGAGAGGCTGGCTCTGCCAAGGGTCCAACAAACAAATCCGAAAGCAAAACCAACACGGTACAATCTGCACACACGGGCGTGCACAGCCCGACAACATGCTCCAAGCTTTATCCACACCGGTGGGTGCTGTTCACGCTGCCAACTGAATCGCCATGAAACTAGGGAGCAGGGGACAGCGGCATACTGGCAGCACAGGCCTCTGGGAGGCAGAACTCTCCTGCTCCCCTGTGAGCTTATAGTATGTGGCCATTAGAAACCAGCTGCAGCACCCCATCAACCTGGACCCCTATGGGCCCAGGCTTCCGGGGGTGGGGGTTGGTGGAGGACCCCTATTCCTGTAGGTGTTTAAGCCACAGTTTGGTGACACAGGATTCCAGGGACGACCCCAAAGTAACACTAGTGACGTGAAATTGATGGGAGCGCCTGCCAAAGATCGCCCCTCAAACAGATGAACCCCCCACCCCACCCCTTGGCTCCCCTCAGATGGAGGAGCCCCCCCACCCCACCCCTAGGCTCCCCTCAGATGGATGGGACCCCCACCACCACACCCCTAGGCTCCGCCTCAGACGGATGGGACCCCCACCCCACCCCACGGCTGCTCCTCAGACGGATGACCCCACTCCACCCCTAGGCTCCCCCCTAAGACGG